TACTGCCAGCTGTGCTTCTGGACTCAAGGAAAACTTCTTATTTCCCGTCTTCTTCAAGGATTCCGTGAGCGGGGCAGCCAAAGTTGCGAAGTTCTTTATGAACCGACGGTACCAACCAGCGGTCCCAAGAAAGGCTCTCACTTCCTTCATGGTCCTTGGGTCAGGCATCCGCCTAATCGCTGCTACCCGCCCTGGATCCATCCGCAGACGTCCTCCACCCACTATGAAGCCGAGGTAGGTCAAAGACTTGAAGCAAAACTTCGACTTGCTCAGCCCAATGGTTAACCCTGCTTCCTTCAGGCATTCAGCGACTCGGCGAAGATACTTCAAGTGCGTTCTTATGTCAGGCGCTAGTATTAGCAGATCATCCAAGTAGACGAACACATTCGAGCGGATTTCAGCGGGAATTACTCGGTCCATGAGTCTCACCAGCCTCTGTGATGCGTTGCAGAGTCCGAAAGGCATCACACGGAACTGGTAAAGAGGCCGACCAGGAACCGTAAAGGCTGTGTATTCCTTGCTGCTCGTGTCCAACTCAATCTGCCAAAAAGCGAACTTCAAATCCACGCTGGAAATGTAGTATGTTTGCTCAATTCTGGACAGGATGCCGTCTATGCTGGGCAACGGTTAAGCATCTTTGATGGTCACATCATTAAGCTTACGTGCGTCTAAGCAGAACCGGTGCTTTCCAGATCTTGATACTACGGTGGTGCGGTTACTCCAGGGGCTTTTGCTCTCCTCGATGACTCCGAGCGCTAGCATCTTGTCGACCTCCTCCTCGACCACCTTCTGCTTCGCGGGAGACATCGGATAGGGTCGATCCTTGAACACTTTGGCTCCGTCCATCAGCTCAATAGTGTGTTTCTCCAGACTGCTGGTACCTAAGCCATCCCTCTCGAAAGTCAAGAACCGCTGCTTGATCTCCTCCAGCTCTTGTTCCTCGGCCTTGGAAAGCGTCCAGGACTCGGGATCGGGTTTCTCCTCATCGTCATCCTCGACTTCCGCGTAGTGTTCCATCTCCCTGGCGTGTAATTCTTCGGCCTTCTTCACGCCTTCCGAATCGATGTGGCCTATAATCGCTGGGGCCAGTCCGAATGCTTGCCAAAAATCAACTCCAAAATAAGCTGGCTGCTCCAGGTAAGGACACAAGTAGAAGAGAATGTGCTCTGTCCGTCCTCGGTATTCCACCGGTAACTTGACCCGTCCTATAATTGACCGATCCTCTCCAGAGGCAGTACGGACTGCGGATAAGTACTTCTGGACGGGCACATCCAAGGCCTCGATCAGCTCTCTGCCACCTTTTCCAAGCAGACTCACACTCGCTCCAGTGTCCAACAACCCCGTCAGTTGCTTGGTCAGAACTCGGACTGCTGCGACCGGTCTGGGATCTCGCGATAAACTGCGCCTCACGGCGGCCACTGCTTTGCGTCGGCAGTTCCGACGTTTGCGAAATCGCTCCCTGGCCCTTTGCACCTTGCGAGACACCACACGCATCCCGCCTAACTGGTGCTCTGAGAAGATCCTATTCCTGGTCTCTAGATACCGCCGCATCCTCTCCGCATAAGGTAAGTATCGTAATGCAAACTTATTACTATTTTTAGAAGGTAAACATTCATCTAACCCTACCAGCTCTTCTTCTCTGCGGAACTCCTGTCTGGACGCATCCTCTCCGCCCTCGGATCGCCCAGCCGACCATTTTCAGCACAATCCGGACATTTGGGAGACACGGTGTCGGGCTTCCCACATCGGTAGCAGAACAGTCTGCGTTCTGTTGCTGCGCAGTCACGGAACCCGTGATCCACGGCTCCGCAATTCCAGCAGCCGGCTCGGAACGGATTTTTAGGCTTCGCCCGCACTTCGTCCACCTCTTGCCACGGAGGATCCTCACCAGGATCTGGGCCAATCGCCTCGCTAACCTTGGCCTTTTCCGCCAGAGGATACCGCATCGGCTGCGTGTACGTGGTCCGTCCACGTCGTCCAAAACTGCGCTCCACCTCGCAGCACTCTTCCCGCAGTTCATCCACCGTGAGCACATCCATCGCGTAGACAAACCTTGCGATGCTCTCCCTCAAGCCCTTTTTAATAATCTTCACCAGCTGCCGCTCTGACAGTGGCCTTTTCAGTCGAGCCGCCAACTGCTGCATCGCATGGATATAATCGCCAACTCCTTCTCCGGGCTGCTGCTCCCTCTGCAGAAGTTGGTGCATCCGATCGTGCTCCGTCTGATGGCATCGGAACCTATCCATCAGCGAGGCTCGAAGCTGGGACCACCTGTTCACCCTGCAGTGACGCACGTGCACCCAGTACCACTCCCGAGTCCGCCCAGTGAGCAGCAGGTGGAAGTTTCGGAGCACCTCTTGCCACGGGCATTGGCACTGCCGCTGCAGGAACTCCGGAAGAGAAAATCTTCCACCGAGTTTCGCTCATCCTCCCCGTCGAAGGATACGCCCCACCGCTCAATTCGCCATTGCTGGTTGGCGGCTGCCGGCCCCACATTGGCATACAGACGCGGCTCCTCCCGGAACTCTGAGGCCCTGCGGTCCTCAATGCACCAGCTGCGGGCCGGGCCATCGTCTCGGCGCGACCTGAACTGATCCGGAGGATACCCGGGACTGCTACTTTCCAACTCCTGGAAATCCAGCGGCCTCCTCGTCGGTTTGGGTGGCACCCTCGGCGGAGGTAGCCTGGAACCGTCCCTGCCGGCGACCTGCGTGCTCTTCGGCACCGCACCTTGCGGGGCTTGACCAGGGATTCCCGCGTTGATCCTCGAATCTGGACGCCTTCGCTCATTCGGCATGCTCTCCAGGGGAAGCTGAGGCCGCTGAGCAGCAGGCCTTAACACCTCGTTCATCAGCTTCATCATCTCCAGGAAGCCACTTCGGATCTCGTCCCTCAGTGCCTGATTGATCCCGCCTTCTTGGGCCTTCCGATGGGTCTCCGCCGCCTGTGCCAAAGCCACATTAACGGCCGACCTTGCCGCGGAATCCACAAAGGGATCGTGGAGTCTTGCGTCCTTATCGTCCAGCTGCAATAACTCATCCGCTGCGGAACCAATTCCCTCCAGGATCTGCTGCTGCCTTAGGTCCTGCTGCAGCTCTGTGTCCTGTGGTCCTTTTTGCTCTTGTTGCAGTCCCTGGCGCAAACGGGCAAGCGGAGTCCTGGGCAACCCTTCCGATATGCGCGGCAAGCCAGCCTCGGTAACGCCCTCCACATCCGTGGACCACATCTTTTCGTCGTCCTCGCCTGGAAAACCTTTCGACCGAAGCAGGTGATCATGAATTTTGATAACCCCTAACACGACTTCTGAAACCCCGAATTCAACGTGGCCACCAAAAGCCCAAATTATGTATAAATAAATAAATTATACTAAATGCTAGTAAATAATAATAAACAATAAATAAACACCACTAAATAATATGCACCTAAATAATACGAATACTTATATTACCAGGCCAATAAATAATAATAATAAATAAATAGAAACAATAAACCATGAATAGATAAGAAATAAATAAGAAAATATATTAAAGACCCACAAATACCTAAGGCTAAACAAATTCACACCAAATATTAGCTCTTATCAAAAAACAAGTCCCTCGACTAAATTTCTTTCTCTATTTTTATTTTTTTTTTTTTTTTAGCCTCAATAAGGGGAGATGGAGTCGATCCCCAGCCGGTAGACTCCGCGCCAGTCGTCTTGCGTCTACAATTTCGTCCGAATTCTCACTAAACAAACCGCTCGTCAACTGGACTAACTTTCAGCTGTGCTGAAAGTCGCCAGTTAAGGACTTCGGCTGTTTGCCGACTTTGCGTTTTTCATTCAAGTCGCGGTGGCCGAGCAGCGCGTGACGACGTCACGGGTCACGACCACACATTTAAGTTTTAAACCGATATGATATGAAAACGCAAATACCCAGAAAACCCAAGGATCTGCACAAAACAAACAACTACACTGTAACCCCAAAACAAGACATTCATTAAAATTACGTTAACAAAAAAAAATATGTCCCTAATACCTATATCACAGTTTTATCACCGTTTTTGGTTTAACCTTTCGTGCTTATTGCACGGACGACCTGGGATGCGAATCCTTCGATTTTCTTCGAAGAGGATGTCACCGCCAAATCACAGCTAATCCCTGTGAACTGTGCCTCGGGAGCAATTGTCCTACTTCTAGTGGACACGCCTCCCTTTCTTCCTACAAAATTTAAACAACTTTTCTCCACCAGTCCGCATCCCGGTGCAATTGCATGTGTTTCATGCAAGCCACCGTTCGTGGGCTGGCTGGAGATAATAAATATGCGAGACGCCGTCGACTCGGCTATCACATATTTTATTTGTTAAATTGGGCGCCATATTGTTACGGAACTGCATCTTTCCCGGAGGGCAGCGCCGGCTAGCCGGCACGGAGTCCCAGGGCGGAGTACCCCCTATGCCCTGCAGTCCGAACAATCGATTCCGACTCATCGGACGTCTCACGTCGATTTACCATCTCTACCACAAATCAAAACAAACAAAGTTATATGTACATCAAGCAAACTAAGACAATTCGACGAAATTGGTGGCTTCGATGTCCTTGCCACGACGCACCCACCCAACCTTGGGTGCCCCAAGAAAGATGTGGGAGGCACACCCCATCTCCGGCAGACCGGAGTCTATTCCTGGTGGATTAGGATCGGCTCATCTCCCCGCCCAAGGTAATTCACACAACCATCTCGGTAGCTTGTTTACATTTAATTCTTGGTGAGATTAATAAGTAAATACATTCATTATTGATTCCTACTGATAATCTATTCTTTTCGTTAGAAACTCTTAAGGCCGATCTCAGACCGTCGCCCAGATGAGAAGCGGTCAAAGCGGCAACAACTGAAAGGGAAATTTTTAGACGCTTAGAGTTCAAAGTGTCAGGCAAAGTCGCCGCATGGCACCAAATTGGAGGCGTTTGCCAACCGGGTCGCCTAATCCTGAGGAGCTCCAAGGGAAAAGAAGGGACGTGCTAAGGTAAGTACGCTAAACAAATCCCACAAGTTATTAAATTTCGCGACCCAATTTAGATGTTGTTGGACGCGCGGCTAGGGTTCGGGCTTGAGCCTCTAATTTTAGATTAGATTTCACAGTAAGTACTTGACAATCTTGACTGCATGATATCACAAAACCATTACTAAAACTAATTTATTGCAGAGTTCAACGTCGGATGTGTTGAAACTGCAGCCCGAATGGAAAAACGCTAGGCCAATGCTGTTGAGGCTAATGCTGCGGCGGCTGGTGGACGACGACCAGGTTAGGTCCGATTGTAAGTTTTCACTTCCCAAATGTTTAAAATTTCCGGGGCCCTTTAGTTAGGGTCCCCGGCGGCTTTAATATAAAAAAAACACTGTAATTTACAAGTTCCGGACTAATAAATAACCACTCACTTTGAGTTATTCAAACACTAATCACGAACTTAAATTTTGGGTTTTTTTCCGACCGTTCTCCTACTACTTCTTGCAGCAACTAAAGCAAAACCCTGACCTACACCAAAGTCGCTCGTCATTTTCCCTCCCGCTCTCTCAAGATGGGTCAGCGAACGTATTCAAGGCCATTTAACCCAGTCAACGAGCGAACCGGGCTAAATTTAAATAGCTAGATCCTCTCCCGCTATCAATAGTCGGTGTCACCACCAAATCTTATCGATAGCGGAACCTGCTGACGTATCGGTTCGTTTCAGTATTTTCCCGACGGCTTCAACTGAAAATGCAACAGAGACAAGTGCCGAATTAAGCGTTCGGCCTCTCCCGTAAGGTTTGTTTTCAAATACCACATTTTTTGTATAGTTGGTAATGAAGATTCATGAATCATTTTCTTAAATAAATCATGAAATTGTTGCCATTGTAAGTAATTTCCATCAAATTTTGGAATTGATACCTTTGGCAGAGGTAATCCTGCGGTCGTATGGGAACTTGCGTCAGATTTCTGCCTTTTTTCTACGCCATATGACATTTGAAATGATATGATGGCCTCTTCGGCCATCAAATATCGTTAATAATCATATCCTAATTCCTTAGGGTTTTTTGAATTTTTTATGGGTTTGGTCATGAATCCTTTTAATTTCATTCCAGTTTTGTGAAATGATTGTTTGAAAATTTTGGCGCGTTTCGGCAGTTATCTTACTCATGATGCGCTCCAAACTATCAATGAGTACTCTTTGTTCACGGAACATGGATTCATGCAGGCTTATTGATTTTACAAACGTTCTCTAACGTCGGCTACCATGTTTGGTTACTTAACGAACACACTGTGTGCTGATGGATCACGATCACTTGATCACTTAGCACTTCGGCAACTAACCCGCTAGGAATCCAAAGTTCCAACATAAATCGTCAGCAACCTGATCTCCTAAGGCATGCTCAGCACGACGGTGAACAAAATTGTTCATTACTTTCAAGCTTGTTAATTTCGAGGAGTTTTTAGAAATTCTATTCTTAATCGCCTTATACTCAGCTGAATTAAGGTGTTCACATTTGTGAGGAATCACATTTTGTATTCTTTCTTTTATGTACATATATATTATATATATACTCACGACACATGTAATCACTAGCATAAGACCCACTGAAGAGATTTATAATTATAATTTTAGCCTACGGATCATAAAATAACCGCGTACTTATTTTTAAATAGCAGACTATAAGTCAGAAAGAAGCTAGTAAGCCAGTAAATAGCTAGAGTAGCCAGTCTCACAGAACACCCGGTCCGGCAACCACACAACAGGGCTACAACACCGAAGAAACCACGATCTAATGGGATTTTCTGGAAAAGAATAAACGGTCACACTGGATCCCGCGTGGGATCCGCGACTTACCCAAACGCCAACAGCGACAACCTGGCCGATTGGAACGAGGTGAAAGGAGTGCGGTTAGGGACAACGCGACAGGGACCGAATGCGAGTGGTTATGCGAGGATACTTCCTAAATTATTGTCTGCTGCTCTTACCGCAGCTGACCTAGAACAGCTCCCATCCGGCTGCTTTAATGAATTGTTCTCCTTGTCCGGAAGGAGAGGAACGGAAGTGCTGGCCAACTCATCTGCAATACAATTGCCTGCAATGTTTCGGTGGCCCTGGACCCATATTAGGTATACTTTAAACTGCAAAGCCATCTCATGTATAGATTTGCAGCAGTTTGATATAGTTTGAGAGTTTGTAGTGGTCGAGATAATCGACGTTTGCGATCGTTGTGTCTAGCTGGAGTATCCTGGCATGACCATATGTTTGGGGCTTCCATTGCCCTAAGTCCCTCATTCGAACCGCAGCTATATTGGCCCGCTCCATGCCGGCTAAGTCCAGGCTGGGAAGGTTCAGAATAGCGTTGGGGGTGGTACGAAGGGCTCCGCTTATGCATAAGGATGCCATTCTTTGAACCTTGTTAAGGTTTGCTGTGGTTGTCTGTTTCATTAGCGCAGGCCACCATATTGACACTCCGTAGAGTAGAATAGGCTTGACTATCGCTGTGTGTATCCAGTTGACGATTTTTGGGGACATGCCCCATTTCGTTCCGATGGCTTTTTTGTAGGAATAGAGGGCAATTGTTGCCTTTTTCGTTCTCTCTTGGCTGTTCAGTCTCCATGTTAGACGCTTATCTAGTACTAACCCCAAGTATCTAGCGTTATCATTGAAAGAGAGAGCAGTTATTAAAAGTTGGTTGGTTTAGTTGAGAAACCTTGCATCTGTTTGTGAACAGCACCAGCTCCGATTTCGAGGGGTTTACCCCTAGACCTCTTTCTGTTGTCCAGTCATATAGTATTTGAAGTTTGGCGGTCATAAGATCGCATAGTGGCTGAGGAAACGTCGTCCGCATATGCCACAACGGTACATCCACCCCCTTCCATGTTACACAGCAGCTTATTCACTGCGATGTTCCATAGTAGAGGGGAGAGTACACCACCCTGAGTTCCCCTGTTCACGAACCTTGTTTGTGTTGATGTTCCTGGGGTGGAGGTTACCATTCTGCTCATCAGCAATTTATGGATTAGCTCCACGACTTGAAACTCAACAACCAGGTCAGTGAGGGGTTCGGTTATGGCTGCAGGGAGAACATTGTTGACAGCGCCCTCTATGTCCAGGAATGGAACTAGTGCGTATTCCTTGTGGTTATGTGACTATTCGATTTGGCTGACTACCGCGTGTAGAGCTGTTGTGCTGCTGATAGTTGTTTTGAGTCTATGACTAACCTGATGTGCAGTCCAATCAGTCGTTCAAAACTCTTAAGTAGAAAGGATGTCAGACTTTTAGACCTGAAAACTTTCGTCGTCATGTGCAAGGCTTTGCCCGCTTTGGGTATAAAGACTACCTTTGTTTCCCTCCATGTTGATGGCAATGTTCCTATCTTAAGTATGGTGCGGAAAATTTTCTTTGGATGTGCGCAGGGGAGAGATGATCAGATCCTGCTGATTTGAGGGGTTTGAAACTGTTTATGGCCCATCCAAGGCCCAGATTTCAAAGAGCTTGTGGAGAGGGGGAGAGGAGTTACACTTTCACAAATTTATACTGAAGATAGTTTAAATATACATATCTTGGATGCTAATAATGAAATTTTAGCACTGTAACTCCACTGGAAGTATCTTTGCGCACCATAGCCATATAAGCCTTACTAAGGTGCTATGTGAGCTATGCGATAGAGTCTTCCGATGTAGCCAATTTTTTTATTCTATATTCTCAATATTTTTTTTAGATTTTTGAGGAAATTTCATAACGATATCTCAACGGGAAATATTTATGGCCGCGGCTCCATACAAGCCCAACCAGTGTGCATTGGTGGGAACCTCGTGCGCGGCGCTAGTGGACAATATGGCCCGCTGGGGTCTTACTTTTAATGGATGTTCCGACCCTTTCAGCTTCATGGAGCACATCGAGGATAAAGCAGCCACGTGTCACCTTCCGCAGGCAATGCCAGTTCTATTGGTTGGACGGGCAGAAAGCTGGTTCCGAACGAGCAAGATTCAAGGAGCGACCTAAGCAGTCTTCCGCAGGGAGTTCTTGGAATTCTTCTTACCGCCTAGATACTTTCAGCGGCTGGAGGACCAAATCAGGACCCATGTCCAGGGGCCAGGTGAGCTGTTTAAGATCTATTTAGTAGACCTGCACTTGCTCATGCAGCGGGCGGGGTACACCGAGAACCAGGAACTCGAACGAGTTTATGAAAACATGCTGCCAGAATACCAGCTATTCACCCGGAGGAATGATTTTGAGAGGCTCACCGAGTTGACGCAGCCGTGGAAACTGGAAGCAATCCGGACCCTTTGCATCGGGTACCAAAGGTTTAGCAACATCGGCCCCACTGCCGACGAACCCACCCCCATATACCCAGGCAGCGACTCGGGCAGCGAGTGATGCCCACCAGGGAACTATAGTTCCAGAATACGAAGCCACGATAGACGTACGCTATGAACGCAGGAATTGCGGTAGAAGAGGCCACTTCGCAAGGGAATGCCAGCAGCCACAGTTGTTATTCTGCTGGGAATGTGGCCGCAGAGGCCTGCGTACCTTCGAATGCTGCCGAAGACCAGAGTCGGGAAACGAGACCGGGCTTCGAGCGGAAGAGTACGTACGAGGGTCCGACTAGCCGACGGGTCACGACGTCACCTCACTTACCGGGAGGAACGGCGCACCGAACGAGTCGTGTGTGGTAGTCCCTCCTGGCTCAGCAGGAACGCAAGGATTAACCACCGAGGAGCGGTGCACCGAACGAGGCGTGCGCGGCAGTCCCTCCTGGATTACCAGTAGCACAAAGTACACCAGCAACTCGGATCCAGCCGAGGAACACCCAAGAAAATCTAGACGACGACGACGCCCACAACAAGCAAGGACCAGCAGCTTAGGCGTAAGTTCAAGCGAGGAGCCACTTTCCAGTCACCGTAGCATACTACCCCCTGTCGGGGAACAGGCCGTGAAACGAAACCCTTTCCGCCGACGGCATGGATCGGATGCACCGACGCAAGCGAAAGAAGTAAGATTTCTAGAAGCATTTACGTATAGCTCGCACAAGCAGACCTTAGTGGCCACCATCCGGCGTCACATGCACCTGAAGAGGCCCTGGCCACCGTTAGCACCACAAAGAATTCGGGAAACTGCCCGGGAACAACAGACCCACAGGTGTGAGCCTTGCTTAGGTTTGAGTTGAGCAGATTTGACAACCCCACAGGGATATCCAGTATTGCGGAGAATCACATCGTCATGAGGGATGACAAGCCCATAGCACAGCGGTACTATACTAAAAAGCCGTTATTAATAAGCAAGTTGGGGATCTGCTACGCGATGCTCGCATCGAGCCATCCACGAGCCCCCATAGTGCTCCTATAGAGCTTGTTGGGAAAAAGACTGGTGATATCCGGATGTGCGTGGATTATCGCCAACTTCCAACTATCCGTTAGCTGGACATTTGGGGAGGCGGAAGACTAG